ATTTGATCCAAATCTAATACATTAATTGGCCTATGCCTCCCCTTGGGGTGTAAATTTGGCTCGGCCTGGCCTAATCAGGCTTAGGCTCGGTCCAGCCCATGACGAGCCACGTGGGCTCCTTCCAAAATTTGGGTTGGGTTGGGCCGCCTACAGGCCCAAAAATTAGGCCTAGGCCTAGGCCTAAGTAGTATTCGAGCCTTGGGCAGGCCCTCGGGCTGGCTGGCCTAGGCTTGGGTTCGGGCTTGGGTTCGGGCTTGGGTCAGGTTGGGCCGGCCCACGAGCTAGTCTATTAAGCTAGGCCTAAGGGGTATCCGGACCTTAGGCAGGCCTTCGGGCTGGACTGGCGGACCTAAGGCTGGGCTCGGGTTGGGCTGAGTTTGGATAAACATGAGCATTTTTTTAATACTTTTTTACCAAAATTCTATTCTTTTCTACTAAAAATAACATTAGGCCTCAGGTGGGCCTGGACTCGGGCTGAGCTTTGAATAAGCTTTGAGCATGTCGATGGGCCAGGCCACGGATCGGACTAGATTTTAAAATGGCTGCCCAGACCCAAGGTCCCGGACTGAACTCAGTCTCAGACCTAATCGAGCCGGGCCCACCTTGAGTAGCGGGTAAACTACGAACACCCACGAACCATGGATCATTTTTACACCCCAGCCTCCCTCCAAGAGATAATTACAAGAAGGGTTGCCACCCTCTCTTTTCCTCCTTTCTACCAAAAATGACACTGTTTTGCTCTGCCGTGTAAACCGCGGCCCTGCTTTTGTTTAATATTGATGATTCATAATAAGCTTCTAAAACGAAACTCCCATTAAAAAAAAAAAAATTAAAAAAAAAAATTACCTTTTAAAAAGGAAGTAGCTGTGCAATGAAACCTTTGTGAGCACTAACTTGCAACAGTTAGGTCACACACACAAACAAGAGGGGTCCACCGACTTCTAATCAATTGGCTAGCCTTGTGGAAGATACCTACTTGTAACCCTATTTATAAGAATAACTTTGTGGTAACCCATGCGAAATTTTGTGGGTGTAATTTAAGTAAAAATAAAATTAAATAATAAAAAAATAATATTATAATATATATATTATTTAAGTGATGAAAATATTTTATTGAAATTAAAGGTCTTGGACTCAAATCTTGTGCACCTACTATAAAGTCTGGGAACAAACTATTTTAATATTTTTTTTATTTTTTATAAAAAGATGTGCAGAAAAATAGAGAGAGTGATGTGACAACCTATTGTAAATTTTTGACTAAAATAGTTATTCCTCAAACAAGGCTTAAGTAGATATAATATTAGGTAGAACCATATTAAATGATGAAATCCACGTATATGCATTTTGTCTTAGTTAGTGTATTAATTGATACATTAATTAGTATTTCTAACATTACTGTACTTGTAATTAATTGATCATGATGTAAGAGCATCTCCAATAAGAGCTGTTATTGCCAAAAGTTGGTAGCTGAAAGACCAAACCTTGCTCCATTGACAAGTTATGGTAGCTGCCAAAATATCAAAACTTGTATCACAACTACCAACTCACAAAAACAGTAGCCCTCCCTCTCTCTCTCTCCCTCTTCGCAAAACATCTCTCCCTCCCTTCCGTCCGTCATTTTTGCAAACGAAAGCTGAAAATTGGTTTGTGTGGGACGTTTGGATGATCGGCCGGACATCTTATACACACCAATTTCTATGTTAAAATGACAAAAATGACAGCCCTCCATTGAAGTATTATTGCTATAGTTCTACAATTTTTAACTATTCATTATCATAATTTGACAATGACAATACTATTATAACATTTGCCATTAAAAATGTTTTAAGAAGATTTTAAACCATTTTTATCATAGCCATACTTCACAGTCTGTTAAACTAAATTTGTAATTAATAGATCAAGTGCTATAATAAACTTTTAAAGTTTAAAAGCTTATTACCATTTTTATCTTAGCCATACCTTACAATTCTGTTAGACTAGGGTAAATTGCACTTTGTCTTTTTATGTTTGATCATTTTTCCATTTTGATCCTTAGAGTTTTCTTTTTTCACTTTGGCTCTTCAGATTTTAAATTTTTTTAATTTGCTTTTAAAATTAATTTCTATTCAAAATTATATAAAAAATAACACATTAACAATTACATAGCATAAAAATATTTTATGACTGTGCTTCTCTAAATCTTGAAGATCCTATGCAGAAAATACTTTATAGTCTGTTAAACTAAATTAGAATAAACTATTTAAAAAACATTTCTCAGAAATATTATGCAGCTAATAGTATTACAGATTGGTAGATGGATGCGAATCGGTTTGACAGTTTAAAATTTTATAAATTTTTAACATAATTCAATTTATACACTTTCTCAAAAAAAAAAAAAAAAGAAAAGAAAAAAGAAGAAGTATTACAGTCAATGACTTTAAAAAATATTACAATCCCTGCATGCCTCATCCAAAGAAAGAAAGTTTGAAACTTTAGGATATTACAATCACTGCATGTCTCATCTACATATTACAATCACAGCATGCCTCATCCACATAAAGTACTACAATATGTGGTTCTTAAAATATAAAAATAATTCAAATCACCAAAACCATGAACAGAACAGTAGTAGAGATTGTATATCTCTGTATTGTTACATCTATATCGGTTTTTGAAAATAAAAACTAACCAACATAGATCACCTTTTTTATTTATTATTTTTAGAGTTAGATCTAAAAATCAAAAAATATAGATAAATAATATATTTATTTTTTTCAATTTAAAAATATATTCAAATTGAATACTTTTTTTCAACAAAATATATTCAACATAATATTTAAAATATTTTTTAATTGAAAACACAAACAAAATATCTAAACAAATTGAAAATACAAAGTGTTACAAATTACTAGGGTGCTCGCGGTTTGGTTGCGGCCAAAGGAACCTCAAATCTATCATCCGTCCAAAATTAGACAAATTGAAAAAAATCAATCCACAACTGTTCGCTCGTTATCACACATCCGTCCAAAATGCGACGGATCAGTTCGGTTCGATCGATTTGGGTGGATTGGTATATCCGCTGCTCACTCCTAGTGACCTATATGTTAAGTGAAGTTTCTTTTTCTTTTTTTTTTTAATTACGCAAACATTTTTCGTCAATTATAAATCAGGTTTTTCCGTAATTACATAAACATTTTTGGTCAATTATAAAACATAAATATTTTATTTTTAAACAAATTACAAATACACCTATAAGGGCATTACTTAATAATTTACTTATTAATAAACTTGGTTATTTGTTATGCGAATTAGTCATTTGTATATATATGTATTTTTTTCTACTTTTTTATTAGTTCTGTGAATTATCTTAGTAATTTTTTTTTTAAATAAGAGAATTATCTTAATATATTTTTTTATATTTATCTGTTGATAAAAAATACATACCATATATTTTTTTTAATTTATAAATTCGAAAGAAATGTTAAAAAAATCATAAATTTACCTACAATGATATGATAATAGAATTGAAGTTTACATCTTTAGGTGTATAACAAATTAAAAAATAATACATATCATACCACATAATTCTATCATATATCTAATGATTTATTCTATTTAATTTTATAAAATAATATTTTAATTTTTAAAAAATTATCAAAATATAAAATTTAAATATATTATAATACGAGCCTTTTTAAACTAGTGTGTGTATGTATATATATATATATATATATATTTGTGGCCTTTATTTATTGGTATGCTGTTGCTATGACCGACGCATATTGGTAGGGAAAAACACTAATACTTAGATGCTTTAAATTTCTCTAGTCATAATCCTTTTGAGAATTTTAAAACTTTTTTATTTAATAGTTTTTAAAACAGCAATGGTAGGTATCATGAAAAATATTTTATTAATATAATTATAAAAGTTTTGTGATCGACGCCGACGGCGCGATTTGAACCATCGCGGTCAACAGCGTAATCCTAGCTCTCTCTCCTTCTTTGCGATCGACATCGGCGGTCTATCTGGCTTTGGCTCTCCCTATGGCTTTGGCTCTCTCTCTCGGTCAATCTGAAACCCTAGCGCCGGTTTGTCCCGTCGGAGCTAGGGTAATGGAGAAATAACTAATCAGTGTTTGGTTGAATTTTTTTTTTATTAATTAATGATAAAACTAATAAATTTGAATTATTAAATTATAAAATTTGCTATGAGTATGATATTATTTTTGAAAACTATACCTGATTTGTAATTTCTTATTCTTTCATTTTCTTTATAAGTTTGGTCCTTTTCTTAATTCATTAGGATCTCCTAACCACTCGGGCACAACTTTTTGGTTTCCACTAAACTAAAAATAATAATACAGTTACTCAAAAGAAAAAGAAAAAAATACAAAAAACAAAAAAAATATATAAAATTTTTCTTTATCACAAAAAAATCTTTTCAGGACAGAGCGTCTATTGGATCAATTCTTGCAAAGCAAATCCCACATTACAATTTTATTGCTATGTAATCCTTCTATCAAATGTTAACATTTTGAATTTAATGTGAACAACATGGAACTTATATATATATATATATATATATATTACGTGTAAAACTAACTAAAATAAAAATTAAAAAAAACTATAAAAATCACCAATGTAATGACTAAATTACACTGATAATCCGTCTAGTTTATTTTGAATTTCATTTTAGTCTCTCTAATCTTATACTTTTTTTTTTCATCGAAAATTTTAACAATAAGTGACAGGAATTAAATCGCAACAAAACTGCAAGTTTAAGATTCAAATAATTTAAATTAAAATTACGAGAACTAAAGTTAAACTTCATTAAAAGACGAATAGTGTAATTTATCAACCCAAAAAAAAAAAAAAAAACAACGTGTGTGAAAGAGAGAATGCGTGTTCGCAAGTTGAAATACAAAGACTACAAAGTTTGTGTGTGAAAGAGAAGTGTATGTGAGTGAAAGAGAGAAAAAGTGAGGGAGTGGGGGACTAGTTGTTTGTTCCCAAGAGGAGGAAGAGTGTGAACACATGGGCTGGTTTAGCCATTGTTGCCCTTCATATATTATATATATGTACATGGACTGGACAGTGAGGACATGAAATAGTCCCTTAATTACTGGGGCATATATCTAGAGTAATGCTGGCGCAAATATCTATCATCTATCCTATCTTTCACTTTCCACACTTTCCAACTTATATTATTAACCACTACAAATCAAGAGAGAAAGAGGGGTAGTAATGCTGGCGCAAATATCTATCATCTATCCTATCTTCACTTTCCACACTTTCCAACTTATATTATTAACCACTACAAATCAAGAGAGAAAGAGAGAGAAAGAGGGGTAGAGTCTCCTTTACTGAGAAACCATGGAGAAGAATGACAAAGAAACCATGGAAAGCAATGACAAAGCTATTACAACTGATGAGCCTGAGATCAACTACAGAGGAATCAAGGCCATGCCCTTCATTATAGGTATAACAGAGAGCTTGTTTTCCTACACCATACAAATCTTCTTTTTTTTTTTCTTTTTTTTTTAAAATGTTTTCTGCTCGGTTTTGAATGATCATTCTGAAACATTTTCAGGAAACGAGACCTTTGAGAAGCTCGGAGCCATTGGCACCTTAGCCAATCTTTTAGTCTATCTCACAACAGTCTTCAACATGAAAGCCATCACAGCTACAACTCTCATCAATGTCTTCAATGGTACCACCAACTTTGGCACCTTACTAGGAGCTTACCTCTCCGACACCTACTTTGGTCGCTACAAAACACTGGGATTTGCTTCTATCGCTTCCTTTCTGGTACTAACTAAATGACTCAAACTCATCACTTAAATCCTCTAGTAATGGAATCTATCTAATTCATTGGTTTTTACCTATTGTATGCATGAAGGGATTGCTTGTAATAGCACTAACAGCTGCAATAAAGAAGCTTCATCCTCCCCATTGTGCGTCACATGATGAAAGTGCGTGCATCGGCCCAACAGCACGGCAAATGGCATTTTTACTACTCGGGTTTGCACTAGTGGCGGTAGGAGCTGGTGGCATAAGGCCATGCAACTTGGCCTTTGGAGCCGACCAATTCAATCCAAACACTGAATCCGGGAAAAGGGGAATCAACAGCTTCTTCAATTGGTACTTCTTCACCTTGACTTTTGCTGTCATGGTATCGTTGACAGCAGTCGTCTACGTGCAGTCTAATGTGAGTTGGGCTATAGGATTACTAATTCCCGCAATGCTTATGTTGATATCGTGTGCATTCTTCTTCCTGGGGACAAACATATATGTGAAAGTGAAGCCCGAGGGTAGTCCCCTCACAAGTGTAGTGCAAGTCATTGTTGTTGCAGCTAAGAAGAGGCGATTAGCGTTACCAGAGCAACCATGGCTAACCCTTTTCAACCATATGCCTCCTAAGTCTATCAATTCCAAGCTTCCTTACACACAACAATTCAGGTAACCAACTCTATGGGCTTCAACCTTAATCATACTTGTGAATATGAATTGCTACTAATTTATTCCTATTAGATTGTATAACTAATCTAAAATTGGGAAAAGGATTCACTTAGTTGACAACGTGGGGTTGAGTTACGTTCAATTCAGAGTTTGCAACATTGTTCCTAGATATGTTTGTGAGTGAGATAATTATCTTCTCAACAGAGATGCAACAGATGAGTCTGCCCATTTTTGTTTCATTCTCTAGTCTCTAAACTTGTGAAGTCTCATTTCTATAGCCAGAGGTGGCTCGACTATTAGGTCACTAATATCCGCCTAAGGCCCACAAGAAAAATTTTAAAAACTTATTATTATCAAAGGCCTCGACTTTTCAAAAGATTTAATTTGATAATATCTCAGTTTTATATTTAGTCTGAGACCTCCAAAAACCATTAAGCAGCTATTGTTTGTAGTGAACCAATTCGTCAACATACCCACCTAGCTCTCCCCCATTTGATGAATATCATTTTTGTTTTTAAAAAACAGAGCATATGGTTTTAGTAATAAGAACTCATTTAGTTGAAGTTAGAAATTCATAATAGAAGTGTGGTCTGAGGGAGGTAGTCTTCTTCAGTCTCTTCATTAAAAATTGCCAAGCCAACTTATATTACCCTGTTTATGACCCAACTTTGAGGTTTTTCTCCAATGGAAAGAATATTCTTTCTAGATATTTTTATATTTAGGTTGGTATTCATGTAATGTTTAATTTATTCCATCAAAGGAGTTCATTGAATAAATGAAGGCCAACCTTTGAACAAAAGTCCCTTGATTATGAGAAAATTTTCATTTTATCCCTAAACTATTCCTCAAAAATCAATTAGACTCTTGTTCCTTCAATTTTACCAACGTTACATTGAAACTATTCAAATTGAGATCACAATCGGACAAAAATTGTTGACATAGTCCCCCAAACTCTTTTTAAGATAAAAAATAAAGTGATTCCCACATATGTACAACAGCTTCACATGCGAAAGACAACCGTAATTCCGATTTGGAACCTTAATGAATAACCCTAATATAATCCACAATTTTGATTTGGAACCTTAATGAAGAACCCTAATATAATCCACACTTGTGCCTGTCTCCAAGTGTAGGGTTGTTGTACATAGATGTAAAACACTTCATTTTCTCTCCTAAAGAGAGTTCGTTGGTCAAATCTGCATTTTTGGTCTAATTGTAGATGAGAGATCCCAATTAAAATAGTTGTAAAATTAATATAATTAAAAAGACTGTCTAATTGATTTCTGAGAGAAAATATGATTTTTCTTTTTGATTATTTATCAAATGTTTGATAAAATGTTATGGTGAAGAACCCTCATTTGTCTTCACCTTTTCTTGTGTATAAATTTGCAATTTTAGAGTCTTGAGCAGCCATTGCCAAGAATTTGAACTGGGTTTCAAATATAAGTTGCCATTTTATATCAATTCCATAATGAAATCTCACGAGGATTGGCCTCAAATATTTGTTTGGAAAATGCTTTTTTCAAAACTTCAGCCAAACGCCGGAAAATGAGAAGGAGGAAACATTTTTTCATTTCCTAAGATAAATATTTTATTTTGAAACAAATCAAGCGTTTTTATATTTTGACTTTAAGCTTTGTTATAATCTCTTCAGTTGTTGGGGTGAAGCTACTTCTTAGTTTCACTTTAAGAATAAGTATTTTTTCCTTGGTTCTAGTGAGTTATAAGGATTCTAATCACTGTCTAACCCAACGGTTCTTCTCTCTCATCACCTTGGTTATAGCATCATTCAGACACTGCATTAACAACAAAAGAAAAACTCCAAATAATATCTTACAAATCCATCCGAAACTATTGGATGAGCATTGACTATAGTGGCGGAGTCAGGATTTTAATTGAAACGGAGCCACATTAAGTCAAACTATTGAGTGGAGTTGCATAAGTTTGGAACAAAAGGCTTGTTTTGTTTTATTTGGTAAAACAATCAATTATCAACATTTCAAAACTATTACAGCATCATATACATATGATTACAATAATAAAATTAAAAAATGAAAATAAAATAAACAAAAAAAATATAGATGTTTTCTATCTTCTAGTCAAACAAATCCATCTTCTAGTCAATGGTGTGTGGCATACATTGGAAGAAAAGTAGACGGGGGGGAAAATCCTAATAATTCAAACAAAAAATCTATGTGGTCCTTGAAGACTCAACTCCACATACTAAAAAAACAAAAAAAGACCCAACTCTGACAGCAAATGAACCACACATGAATTGGACCACATACAACGTGTTGCCTAGTCCAAATGGTCCCTAACATGTACTATGACATCTCTCCAAATTGAAAACTCTGCTCATAAGACTAATCAAACTGACAATGCTATTGATCAGATTCCTAGACAAGGCAGCGATAAGGACACCAGATGACCAAATCAACCCCAACGGATCGTCAGCCAACCTGTGGAGACTCTGCACTATGCAACAAGTTGAAGAAGTGAAGTGTGTGCTGAGAGTGATCCCTATTTGGGCTTCAGCGATATTGTACTTTGTTGCCTTAGTCCAACAGCAAACCTTTGTGGTCTTCCAAGCCCTTCAATTCAACAGACACTTTGGAAAGACCAAGTTCCAAATCCCCGCCGCATCGTACCCTGTCTTCAACATGCTGACGCTGAGTCTCTGGATACCCATCTACGACCGAATCTTGGTCCCGACACTCCGACGGTTCACAGGAAAAGAAGGTGGCATCACAATCCTCCAAAGAATGGGCATTGGCATTGGCCTTTCGGCACTCACATCACTAGTTGCCGCCTTCATTGAAAATTGGAGGAGGACTACGGCTCTCACTATGCCGACACTAGGTATTGAACAAAGGAGAGGCGCTATTTCTTCTATTAATGCTCTATGGTTGGTTCCTCAGCTTTCGCTAGCCGGACTTGCCGAGGCATTTATGTCTATTGGCCAAGTTGAATTCTACTACAAGCAATTCCCAGAGAACATGAGAAGCATTGCCGGGTCCTCCTTCTTTTGTGGGATGGCGGTATCAAACTATCTGAGCGGTTTCTTGGTCTCGGTGGTTCACAAGACGACACAAAGGTCTGGAACCGGAGGGTGGTTAACGGAAGATCTTAACAAAGGGAGGTTGGACTACTTCTATTACCTGGTTGCTATTCTTGGGGCCATAAATTTGGGGTACTTCCTAGTATGCTCTATGTGGTATAGGTACAAAGGGACTACAGACAGTTCTGTCATGGTGGAAATGGAAAAAAAACAACTTGGTAAACCTATAGTTTGATATTTGAAGTTCACATCAGATCCGATTCTATGAAATGGTCATACCTAATCATCCCTGTATACAATTCTAGCTGAGGAAACAGTATTTCGTCTTGGATAATGTAGCAACAAATAACTAGAATGTCTCTCATGTTCTATTTCCAAATCATTTGTAAGTTGGTTTAATACAACTCGCATTTAATATCACTCCTTAAAGAGCAGATTTAGCTAGAAATCTGTCCTTAGTCCTACACAGAACAATCTAAACACACAGAACACAAGATACAGAACAACCAGACAATGTTCAATAATATATATATTTTTCTTTAATTTCCCTAATCATCTCCAAACTGTTTCTCAATAACATGTCTCAATATTTCCTTGATTGTTGTTCTTGATTTCATTTCCCAAAACGTAATCCATTCACACTTCCTAGACTAGCAATGACTCAATAGGCCATAACAATGCAATGCCAATGTCAATCCTGGACATGCAATGCAAATAGCCATAAAGGATTTTTTTTATTTTTTATCAAGACTTAATACCCCAATATAAACTTGCATCCTGCCTTAGATTCGTAGTTCAAGCACTCCAATTACCAATCATGCAAAATACTGGCTCCAGGGGATTCTCCTAGTCTAATTACCAATTATGAAACACCGATGTATCTGTATCAAATATCCATATTTTTCGGATATTCATGGATATACGTAATTGTTACTTCTTAAACATATCCATAATTTGACATTAAATGTCTTTAATTTTGAAAAGTATCAAATTCAGATACTTACTTTTAAGTGTGTAAGGGAAAGTAAAGACTTGATATTGGTATTGAAATAAAAATTTTATAGGACCAATTGAAAAGTAAACTAACTATTTAAAAAATAATAATTACAAACATCCTACCCATACCCGTATCATACTTAAAGTTTTGTTATATCACCATATCCTTATTGTATTGTATTTGTATCTCACATCCTATATCTGTGCTTCATAGATGACCAGTTGTCCTGTACCCACCATTTTCTTTTTGTTCCTTTTTTTATTTTTATTTATTTTTTATCTCTTTTATTTCTTCTCTTTATTTTTGGAGTGTCCCAATAGAAAAATTTGTTAGGATTAGTCCATCCATGTGATAAAGGTGGACCTTATTAGATTGGTTTGCACATATATTTGGGTTGAGATAGTAGAGTCCGGAATCTACTAAGAAACCTAACATGTGTAAGATTTGGTTTACCTAATTGTATGAAACTAAAATTCTCACTAGTAGAACATTATAAATAGTCACGTGGGCTATAGGGCTTTTCAAAGAGAGATTGAGGTGAGGGAAAAAATGGAGATGTAAGGGGTGAGAGAAAAAAATACCATGGGCACCGAGTGAGCCAGGACTCAACTACCCTTGAGTATGAGGTTCGAGTAGTGGTGTGGGTTTTGAGTGTTTTGGTTGTCTCACATGTATTCTTTATTTTATTCCTATAGTGGAAGTTCTCTCTCCCATGGACGTAGGCAATTTGGGTCGAATCACGTAAATCTGTGTGATTATTTTTCTTTTTGGTGTATGTATGGGTATGCTTCTGTTCGAGTTGGTGGATGTGGTATAAATCCCGACAAGTGGTATCAGAACTAAATGTTGCCGATCTTAGGTGTGGTTGGATGCGGTTACTACACACGGAGGACTTGCACAGAAGAGAAAGAAATCCTAGTGGTACAAAAAAAAAAAAAAAAAAATTTGTTCAAATTCAGTGAAGGCTTCGACAAGAAGAAACATGGTAGAAAATTTCACGACAAAAAAAAGTTTTTAGGGATTGCGAATTCATCGGCATGGCCAGAATTCTCAGATTTTGAAAAGGTTCAAAGGGATTGGACAAATTCAATTGCATATGATCTAGGAGTAATTTGGTTCAATCAACAAGGAAGTCCAGTCATTGTGGAGTCAATCAAACAATTTTGTATTTTTTGTTCTTTTGTTTTTTTGTGTTTTTTCCCCCCTTCTTGTTGGACATTATGATTGACAACTTGTACAAGCTTGTATGTTGTGACAAGAGAGAAGCTATTGTCAAGCATCAGGCAAGAGTATGAGTCATGAGTGAACAGTGGCAAGCAACAATTGCAAGGATATTTAGTGGCCACCAAGAGGAAGACAACGGCTTGTGGATGTTCACAGAAGGAAGCTTCAGCATAGAATTTGAGACGGTTTTGCAACAAGATGGTGTACACCAAGGAAGGACACGGGTCTCTTTTCTATGAAGGTTTTGGTTCATGGCAGTGGAGACACCTTAGGGAGGTGCGGAGGATCTCATCTTAACCATGAGGACAAAAGAAGCCACGAAGAACATGTTTGAGCATTATTGAGTGAGGTGCCAAAAACGTGGCATTTGGTTCAAGGGGGTGCAACATCTTCAAGGTGAAGGTGGAGTGTATCACCTAAACTAGGACATCCAAATTGGAGGATGCAGATAACATTACTCTACATAGGTCGAGGGGGGTGATTGTTAGGATTAGTCCACCCATGTGATAAAGGTGGGTCTCACATAGTTATTAGGTTGATTTGTATATATATTTGGGTTGAGATAGTAGAGTTTAGAATCTACTAGGAAACCTAATATGTGTAAGATTTGGTTTACCTAATTGTATGGAATTAGGATTCTCATGGGCAGACTATTATAAATAGTCATGTGGACTATAGGGTTTCTGTGAGCGATATTGAGAGATTGAGGTGAAGGAAAAAATAGAGATACAATGCGTGAGAAAAAAAATACTGTCGGCACCGAATGAGCATAGGTTTTGGGAAGTGGTGTAGGTTTTGAATGTTTTGGCCATCTCACATATATTCTCTACTTTATTCATAATGAAAACTCTCTCTTCGTTGGATTTAGGCAATTTGGGCTAGATTACGTAAATCTGTATGTAATTGTTTTGTCTCTTTGGTGTGTGTGAGTGTGCTTCTGTTTGCATTGGCGGGATTTGGTATTAAATCCCAACAAAATGCAATTAGGGACACTAACCCCCCAGGGCAGAGGAGTCAAACCTTTTCATGAGGTCAGGTCTCAACTCAACCAGTAGTTCTATTCACATGGGAACCAATCATGGATCTAGAGAGGGAGTATGGGAGCGGTTTGTCACGTACCGACTCATTAGGGATACGAGTTCTACACCAAGCACCTTGCAAGCTCATTAGTTTGTGAGCAACAAGGCAGGTAGGGTAGGTCCCTATTACATCTCCTAGGTTGGTCCTTGGGCATAATTCATAGGGTATGCAGTACCACTCGTGGAGCGGGCTTATCGGGAGAATGACAAGCGCCCAATTTGTGACAAGTGGTATGAGAGCCGGCCTAGGGACATTGTGATGGGGACAGTACGTGGGACTTACACCAAGCACCTTCATTGTGGGGTCTGCACCAAGGGTGGTATCCACGCTGGGGCGAGTTTCCCGTGGGTAGGGGAATAGACAAGCATTGAGGAAAGCAGGGTAATGTCCCCCTGACAAGGACGTCAATGACTAGTGGTGGTAGCATGTCATGTACCGACTCATTAGGGATGCAAGTTCTACACCAAGCACCTTGTAAGCGCATTAGTTTGTGAGCAACAAGGCAGACAGGTTAGATCCCTATCGCATCTCCTCAATTGGTCTTTGGGCATAATTCATGAGATATGCAATACCACTTATGGAGCCGGCTTTTCGGAAGGATGACAAGCACCCAGTTCGTGACAAGTTGCACCCCAAAAATTTTACAAACCCCCTACATTATACTACCAAGTAATAAAATAATTTTGAAATTAGAGTCTTTCGCAACCCTAAATTAATTATTTTACAAAACTGTAAATTAATTTTTTGGTCGACTTTTATCAAATATTAATCACTTATGTTTACTATTTGTGTTATTTGTTATATTTATAGTTCAGACTTTCTTCTATTTTTGTATTTGTCCTTGTTTGTTACCATGTTTGATTTCTGACCATATGTCATTTATGATTTTTCTATGTATGTTTGACATCCATTCGTATTTGTTCATCATCAAGAATGGAAACATTTTGACATTCATGAAAAAGACTTCATTAAATCTGATAGTGCTTATTGAAACAAATTATCCTCTTATTCATAAATTGATTTGTCTAGTGTTAATTTTACTTGTTTCAACTAAGCATACGAGCGTACGTTTTTAACTATGAAACTTGTCAAGTCTAAATTGTATAATAGGATGGAATACTATTTTATATTAGGTAGAGACATATAGTTACTTTTTTTATGTAAGTTACTGCAAACAAGAATGTGTTCAACTGTATAATCATAATTTTGTAGTCAACTATAATAAGAAAGAAAGTCTAGTTAACAATATAATTGTTCACTTTTTGTTCTCAATTAAGATTTACATGCATTTTAATTTCTATGGTAAAATTATTACTATTATTATTTTAGCAGTTAAAATCATGGATGTCCATGATGGAACCAGTTGCGAACCCAACCTTCAGAATTGCTTCCCTACTTCAGTGGAACAACAACCAGATTTTCAGCAGAAAAGCAAAGCTGAAGGGCCCAAAAACAAAAAAAAAAAAAGGAACCACCAAGGAATCAAAAGCACAAACAACATTCCTAACAAGCAAGATCACTAAGCAAATCTTCTCAAGTACACTTTCAAGGACATATTTATTACCTCAACTAGGTAAAATCAGAAGTGTAATAGAACAGAAGACTAAAAGACCAAAACGTAACTGATATAAACACTTGGGAACCAGCCCGTTTAGCCAAAAAGTTACTAAAAAAGTCAAAAAACCAACAACCCATACCAAAAAGTCAAATATTCTCTTTTCTCTCTACTTTTTGCACATCTTTTCGTAAAAAGCCAAACAGTCTTCCCAAACATACTAGTTTTTTTTAGCTCATATTTTAGCCAAATAGCCAAAAAGTTACTAAATTAGCCTGTTCCCAAACGAGGCCTGGCATAATTAATTGCATCCCTCCCAATTTTAAAATTCAAAAGTTATATGTAACATTACATGAAAAGACTTAAAAATGAACAAGAAACAACAATGGCAGGTCAAGCGCTGAAACGGTAAAAAGCACAAATGGATCAATCAAAAGTGTTTCAAGGGTAAGTCACAACTACATATGCTCATTATTTGTCTTTACTCTCACCATCGGTAAATTGCATCGGGTTTATCTCCTCAGACTGTGTACGCTTGTTGAATTGTGTCTATGTCAAGACCCTTCAATTTCACCACAGATTCTACATGACCTTTCAGTGTGTGTAGTTCTCTCAACCTGCAACAGGACATGCAAACAGACAATATCAGAAAAACACAACCATGGCTTATAAAAACCTTAATTGGCATAGTCAAGC